GATTTTTCTCTCGTGATCCAAGTTTGAAACATTGTATTTCGTTGCAAAAGTTAGTTTTACGAGGTTTGTAAATTTGGAATATTCAGAACGAAAAATGTATTATTTAAATTGACTTAAGACTATTCAAATTTTACTATTTAAATTCAGCCAAACAAATTCAAAGCATAAGGAAGGTTCGACCGTGTAAAATTGTATTTTGTTTCGAAAGTGTGCGAATCGTTGAGAGAAGAAGAGGGATTATTTAAAAATTGTCAGTTTTGTAAGTTTGAAATATTCAGAATGAAAATGAATTATTTAAATTGGGTCAATGAAATTTGAACTGTTCAAATTTTACTATTTAAGTTCAGCGAAACATACTCAAATGTTCAAAGTTGGTTAATCAGATTCAAACTATTCGAAATTTAAATTCAGGTAATCATATTGAAACTGTTCAAAATTCAAATTCTGCCAATCTAATTCAAAACATTGAAATTGAAATATTCAAATTCTGATATTTAAATCCAGACTGTTGACACTAATGCTATTTTTCTCCTTTTACCGAATACGCAAAAAGTTGCGATTTTTTTTGAATTAATACTTTAAACCTTAGGTAAATTTGAAGCTTCGAGAATTCAGGAAAACGCATTTTCAGCTTGAAAAATCAGACTGTACTAAAGTTCGCATACTTTGGATACGTGAATTCTCATTTATTACTCCACGTTACAGAGACACTTGATTAATTGACAATATTCCGCGTTTAACGACATGTTTCTGAGATTGAAATGCTTCGTAAGTTTACGACTTGGGGAACTATTTGTAAGGAGCACAAGGAATTTCTGCGCACGTCTTTCAAAGAATCTATCATACGCTCGAGGATAAACTGGCATATCAAGCTTCCATAAAAATTACGGTTTATAATATCTCTTAAATTAATCTCGTCAAAGTGTTTCAAGTGTTATTTTCTCAAATAACATCTGAAACACCGCACGAAGAATTTTAATTTCGACCAATACATATTCATATTTTAAAGTAAAAATCTTTGTACCCTTGACAGTAGGTAGAAGATATCTAAAGTAAAAAGGACAGCTGACGTGTGATATCGGAGTAAATCGTGGAAGAGTATTCAGGTATATAAATGTGAAACGAGCGTCGGAGGGTTGATTAGCGATATGTTCCATCCGTCAGCCGGGCAAGCGTCGTGGATAGAGCTCTGGTTTATTGCGTTGTTTATGGCTAGACTTCGTGAGCCTAATTTGTCCCGAATTAGGAGCATCTGCGGGAAAATTCTCCGCTAATTACACTGCAGCGGTACATTTTTATGGGTGTATACTTTGTACAGCAACACCAGAAAACTAATTAAATTAATAGCATACCGTGATAACAACGTGTTAATCGTCGAGTAACTGTGAATTAATTGTACAATACTTTGACTTTTATGTAGTGAGGAGAAGTGACGTAGTCGAGTATTCAGTAAAGATTACTTTTGCATTAAAATTGAACTTCTGTTAAATTTTTTATATTATATTATATTTATTTAGAACGCAACAGTTTATGACATAATTGCAACAAAAGGTTATTTTTGAGTTCAGAATTTTAAAATACTTATTGTTCGTACGTTTTGGAGAACAAGAATTTTTGGATAATTGGTTACATTTTTTTGAGGCTAATGTTTCTTGAAGTCAATTCTTATTCATTTTCTGCTAGGATAGCAAGGATAGAAGTGAGCTACGTTCTTGCGTAATAGGTCAGTTGCAGATGAAAGAGATAATTGCAGGCACTCTATTAACCCTAGAACGGTCTTCGGGTCTCTTTTGACCCACCGCCTTTTTATATTTTTAGTCATTTTTGCTGTTATCAAGTTTACGTTTTTTAACACTATTTTAAACGTTTGTTGTCTAGGTTCATATGTCGCGTTGGAAACAAAAATTGTTTCACATAAGGTCTTAGATCCTTTTTCACCCAAAAATCTGAAGTGTACAGTCGAAACGAAGAACGCACTAGGGTTAATGAAAAGAGGGAATTACACCCTATTTAACCCTTTGAGGACGATCACTCACTACGAACGCAACCAATAAATTTATATATTTTTAAGCAATAAAAATAGTCGGAGTGACCATGAGGAAAATGTAATTTTGTTATAATTTAGTTAAAACAAAAAACTGAAGTAGTGACCTAATTATGCGTTATACAAGTAATCAGTCCTTCGACATGGCACGTAGTCCTATTTAGGTTAGCAAAGGGTTAAGTGATTGCTAGTGAATCCATTTCTTGAGCTTGAGATATCGTAGTTTAATTGTCACAATTGTTCTCAAATTTCTCTAATGACAAGAATTAGTTAAAACAGTGTAGAAACCATAAGTTAGAATTTAGGAGAAAATCATCCCGAAATTTCTGTTCCTCCCAAGTTCGTGCAAAGATCGCTACACGTCTTTCGACTAAGCTCTAATTAAACTTTCGAAGAGTCAACTGTGTTTCCCACGAAACAAGACACATTTTCCAAACTTCCAAATAGACGGTCCTTCGAGTTTTATTTGAACGGAACATCAGGTCTGAACGATTTTAATAAACAACCACAGACACTAACACACGCAATTTCAATTCGACCTTGGTCGAGTGTGTACAAAGCTTAGCAGGTTTGCCAAGGGATTACAGTGGCTTACTCGCTATCGTTGCTCTGTAATATATCGAATCCGTACTCTCAACACGATCTACGATGTTCGCCGGCCTGGAAGAAATTTCCGAACAAACTTCTGCTGAAAGCGGGATTTCACGCAACAACGGAAGTGTAGTATTAAACCTGCGTACGATTAATATCGCAACTGTCACTGGAAGAGAGATCTTGAAAAGTGCTATGCTTCGAACAAGTTCATGCAGTCTCAAGAACTTCGTGCTTGGGGTCTTAATTGATTCAGGGATGATTGATGGTGCAATACGGTGCAACGTATCAGGATTATTCACCGAATTATACGAATCACCTTCGATCATTATAAACAGAAGATGGAATGAGAAACTTAGAATAGCAATTTATTTGTAACATTTTCGAACTTCTTTAAAGTAACTTGCCTGTTTTGATATGGAGACAATTATTAGAGCTATTTTGAGTGTTGCTGTTACTTGCAGCAACAATTTTTCTTAGCATTGAAATAACATTGCAATTTTGGAAGAAGATTCGTTAGTATAATATTGTAGTATCGAGGCCTCCATACCCCAAAATAAGAAACCGGCACGGGAGAATGGAGAGGGAGTGGTGGAAAGTCTCGGTGTTAAGACAGCAAGGGGACAATTTTATGATACGTGATTTCTAATTCAGCAAACCGTTATTTTAATTTAGCAGACCGGTCTGCAGCCAACATGCGGCACATAGAATTTCTCAAATATTAAAGAATAGGCTATTGTTCAGTCAGTAAGGCAAGGTATCATAAAGTCACCCCCAAAGGGTCTTCGAAACCGATGCAATTACCGAGGCTTCTCGGTACCTTCCGAGCGAGTCGGAGAGTCAGAGTTGACCTGGCCGGGTTTTCCTTCTTGTTGTCAAATTTCCGTCCAGCAAGGACCAGCTTCGTCACCCCCGCTCCAAGGACGTGACGCGCTCCGGACGCAATGGAAGGGGGTGATACGGGGTTGGTCACTTAGTAATTTTAAGAACCTCCCTTCGCGTCCCTTCTTCAAATTTTAGAAGATTTGGAGGAGGGACGACTGGATAAGAAGGCCGGACTTAGCTTAAGACGGAGAGTGTTAGTACACAGACCATCAGTTACATTAGGAATCCTAAAGATTCAGTCAGACTCTCAACGCTATATATTCAGCCTTCAGACCTAGTGCAATATTCCAAGTACGCGGAAATTAGTACCCGAGTGCTTAACACTCGGTGGGGGTCCCTCAATATTTTTCCGTCGTCGGTTCCTACATATGGGGGCTCGTCCGGGATGGAGGTATCTACGGCTGCACGAAGCCAGGCACTTTGAGATGAAAACATCTCGAGGGTTTGCACGTCTCCCAAATTGCGTCGTTTCGGCTGTGTGCCACTGTGTGGGGGAGTGTACCCGAAAGTGTTGAGTTGTGTTGCACTGAGGACATTCGAGGGCGAATGTCAGTTCAGGGATGGCCGAGTGTAGTATCGGGGCCTCCATACCCAAATAGGAAACCTCCAAGGGAGAATGGAGAGGGAGTGGTTGGCGTAGCGCGCAAAGCCTCGGCTTGGTAAGCCGAAAGTCTCGGGTGGTTCGAATTCCCGTTGGGTCCCTCAAATATTTTTCCGTCGTCGGTTCCTACAATATTTAACCTTCGTCCGTCCCTCAGTTTCGCATCTTAATAGGTCTCGCACAATGGTAAAAAATAATTAATTTTGTAAATTCTTTTATTAAATATAGAAGATAAACAAAAATTTTTGCTACAAATAACCGAGTAATACAATTTTTCACCGGAAAAATGTGTCAAATTGACACGAGGGACGGATGAGGGTTAGTGGAAAGTACAAAGGAGAGTTTTATACGAAGCATCCTTCTTTACTAAACTGTTAGTTTTTGAAATTCCCATTTTTTCGTCCAAAATTGGACAATTTTTAATGAAAACGAAGTTGTCTTAATATTAAGCGAAATTTGTAATTTTATTCTAAGTATTAATTCTAGACACCTCGATTGTTTGATATAAGGGGTGTCACGAGCTAAATTGGCAAAAATTTAGGGAAAAAGCATATTAACGATACATTTTGAAATATCATATATACAAAATCTCTTAAGCTTAAGTTTTAAACAATGAAAGAACAAATGCGTCGAAAAATTTCACTTTTACGTAACCGTACACACTTGCACCTATGTAATGGACGTAAAAGAAAAATTGTACAACGTAAACGTGTGCCAGTACAATAGTAGAGTTGGAACGTATGCACTTACGTACGTAGCAAAAATATCTGCGTCTGTAACACGAGGGTGAAATACGTTTGTCGCTTAGACACGTCGTACACTTTTCATGGAAACGCGACGAAGCTTTACACATACGTAAAACACCGTTTCTAGAAAATAATGTATTTTGAACCGCGTACTTGACATTTCACAATGTTGTATCAACGCTGTGAAATTCTCATTTATCACAATTATTCCGAGTGCAGTAACCTCGGTGATATTTTCCCTTTCGTTAAAACTACTAATTCTTGTTGCAGAGAGCCTGTGCGGACCTCACGAGAAACGTTTGTTGAACGAGTTGCTGTCGTCGTACAACACCCTGGAGCGACCCGTTGCCAACGAGAGCGAGCCTCTTGAAGTAAGATTTGGCATCACGTTGCAGCAGATCATAGACGTGGTAAGTCCTTTAATTCGCGATATTTCCGTATCCGTATCGTCCTGTTGTTGACAAATTTGAGAAGAGCAAGGCAGTAAAACGTTGAAGTTCGTTACTTCCGTTTTGTATTTATCTCGATGACACGATAATGCCTTATTTGCTGCTACTTTGGTGTCATTTTTTAGGAATACGCCCTGTTACGGTTAAGTACGTACACTGCTTACGAGGAAACGAAGCAAAAGTATGTAACGCGAGTTAATTATTCTGAAGATCGGGGAATTCGCGGAGGAGTATTCTGCACCGAAATGTGCGCCTCGGTGGTTCGTTACTGTCTACTCTTTCCGCGCCGATTTTTCGTGGTCCCACTCGGAGGACACACCCTTCCGGGTATCGGAAGTTTCCAAGGGAAATGGTAAACCTTTTCCTGGAAAAGTGAAATTGCGTACGCAAACGTCCAACGACGCGTACTTGGCGACACATATGTTTTATTGCCCTTTGCTGAACCCGGCAGCACACACGTGGGGATCAAGTGGGCCCCCACCATCTGCTTTTCGTATTTAATTAGCTACCCTTGTACCACTCAGTCTAGCTTCTTAATATATTTCTAGTATTCAATGTTTCAGTTTTGACTGAGGTTTTTTCAGAGCTACATTGTATTTCTGTTTATTTACAGAGTGGGGTCAGTTTATTCTGATTTTGTCTCAGAAGTTCACGCGTGTACTGCCGGCTTAAGGGCACGATTGCTAGGACACACGGTTTTCCGGGAGGTTTTCCTTCGTAGAAAGTAAAACTTTCCTCTCACAGTTGTCCCGCAGTTCTCACTATTTACTCAAAACGCTGGTTCATTTTCTGTTATACTTAGTTAATTATTTCTACTTTCTGTCAACGTGCTTCTAGCGGTTCCTTACTAAGGTTAGGCTGACGACAGTCTTAACTATAGTGTAGTGTAGCTTTCTCGCTTGATAGAAATATTTACCTCATGCTTACTTCTTAAGAAACAGAGTTACAATCGCTTTAGATTTCGCGTAAAGTTCGAGTTAGTCGTAGAGTTGTTGATTGACTTTCTCGACTAAAGGTTCAGAGTTTAGAGCTCCGATATTTGACTTACATAGCGTTTAGAGTTTGGTCTTTTCACTTCACTTGTTTAGAGTTTACGTTAGAATCGTTGCTTCCTTATTTCGATTAGAATCTAGAGTTCAAGATTTTTTAGCTTATTTTACCAAAATTCTTGGTGTGGGCGATGACGTGATCGGCTAATTAGAGCAATTTCACTCTTTGGGTGGTCCTCCATGGTCTATGAACATACTATCCACTTTAGGATTTCCCAGTTGGTAGAATGCTGGTATCGGATAATCAACATTCTACGTACTGTATCGCCGTTTGAACTGATTGAACAGCTGCAATCTAATCAGCCTACGAAGTGTTAAAAGTTCAAACAATATGCCTTCACTATTAACCCTTTGCACTCCAACGGCGCTTTTATGGCGACACGCGTAATTACTTTGGAGAAATGTACAATTCAGACTTTCCTTATATTATTTTATATTATCAAAGTAATGCAAATTAACACAAGAAATACAAATAAATAAATTCGTAAACACTAAAAATCCTTTTTTCCTTTTCAAGACAAAATTTTGGCTTTCCAGAAGTTTCACTATTAATCTCATCGAAAAGTGCTCGTATCGCAAAGGGTTAACATCTTAAGAAAAGAAGCAAAAAATAATAAACTGTCTCGACAGCATCTTCAGATTCACATAGCAGAAGCAACCTAACGAATCAACTTTGACAAGTCTTCGTAATACCTACTCGCTCGAGTGTCTTCTTCAACAGTCGAGTTAGCTGAAATCTGTCATAGCCGAAACGATTTGATATTCCGCGTTCTTGTAATTTGATCCGCGTGTAATCGCATTTAGATGAAGGGAATTACCAGTAGAGCACGTTTCGCTAGGTTTTCTTCCTTTCTTAAGAAAATCGCATTAGAGGGGATTTACGTCGGAAGCATTTTCCCTTCCATTGGCGGCAAACTGCACAATAGCGACCGGTTCGCGTATGCGGGCATTCTACACGTATGTGCGTATATCTATACATGCATGTACGTACATGTACATATCATTCCATCGATGGAACTTCCCTATGAAAGATTTCCATTATGACCCTCTTCTTTCTTTCGCCATATACGAGGAGTTACCTGAATCGTGTATGAATACTGTCCGTTACCGTACGATCGGATTTGTTTTCTTCTGCATTCATTGCTCGCTTATTCCCGCTTCTCTGCACATTTTTCCACGTGGAAGCAACTAGCATCGGCGCGAGCTACCGTCCACAATGAAATAACAACAGCGTTCCAACGTATAATGGTTCGAAAGTGTGATAAAAGTTTATTCTCACGACCGAGGAAGATGTCTGGGCTTGTTTGGAATTTAGAGTTATAGGTGATTCGATTATTCATTTTTCATGTGAACTTGAAACGATTTTCTCGTTACTTATACAGTGAAATATATGAAAATTCGTCGAACTTTGTTACTGTCGTTTAAAAAGTGAACAAATTAACAGAGTGCCCCCGTTTTCTTCGATCAAACTTTGTCGGTACTTTCTACGGGTGTGAAAAAGGAAAAAATGTTGAATAAACATGGGTTGTTTGAAGCTTCGTTGAAGAGTTATAGAAAAAATAAGAAATACGAAGGGAATGGACACCCGGTATATCGTGGAGTGAGTAAGCGGTTGATATTGACAATAGTGGGCTAGCAATCAAACGAGAGAAATAATATTTGAAATGATCGATGCAAATTTAAAAACATAAAATAATACTTCTAATGTTTCTTCAAAAATTATTATTTTAATTAACTCTAACCACTATATTTGAAATAAATATTTTCGATACACTCGTATCTATCGTTATCACCTGAAATAAATCTTCAAATATTATCTTATCTAAACGAAATTATTTCAATAATTATTTTCAGCACATTTTGCATGAAACAAGGAATAGAAATTCGTAACGAGAATTCTTCAATTGACTATGCGTCTAAGCGTCACCTATTCACTGTTTCAATACTACTGTATTGTAGATTAATTAAATTTGGCAATCTTCGTTTTCACAAATTCAACCGAGAACTGTAATTAAAATGAACTTTTGTCACCGATCCAACCTGTCTCTATCACAACTCGACGAAAAAATCTGTGGCAAGTGTCTGAAAATATTCGCGACACGATCGTGTATTTACATAATCTACACATGACGTTGCAATCACACACTCACTCATGCACTTCGTAACTGGCGTCGTCGCGCTCTATGATCAAGCGAGTCTCGCCGAATTTAAATTACTCTTTCCAACAAGATTACCTTCTCAGAAGATTGCAAAAGTCGTGAGGGCGCGGTGCAATTTCCGCGGCTGGGATGTATCCCACAAAGCGGTCCGCCCGCAATCTTTGCGCAAACTGCAGAGATAAGGCGGTCTGTGAGATTAGCGCGCGCGAGCGCGAGTTTTTGCACATGAAAATATCGGTCCTATCTAAATGAGACCGGGGTTAATAGGACAGCATGGGGTGGAACAAACGAGGGGGCAGTGAACGAGGCGAATTGCATTACGTTCTTCATCATGGCTGCTCTTGAATCGGCCATTTACTTTATGCAGCCTTCCTTTTGAGCCGCTATCGCGTGAAACACCGTTGCTGGCTCGCCTGCATTGTGAACACTGTGACGCTCGGAAACCTTTTCACGAACTGCGGAAAATTCCTTACGAAGAAGCGTAATTGCTGTATGTTCCCCGTCGCCTTTACAGCTTCCCTAATTGCCTATTGCGACGCCTGTACATCTGATTGTTTCCTTGTTCTTCGTACGCAAGATGTTCGACTGTTCGTCCCAGCACAGTGTTCGAAGCTTCTATATATGCGCCGTGCGAGAATTTCAAAGGCTTTGATCTAAAATTAGGTGAAAATGTTTGTTTGGCTTTTTTTTTCGCAAAAGGGTAATGTATCGTTTGAAATCAAAATTACAAGGGGTGTTGTTCAAATGTACAAAGTTCTGTTCTACCGAACTTTTTCGCTATTTTCGCTTTGTCTGCATATTGTACAGGTGAAGTGCACTTTGGGAAACAAGTTGTAAAACAGGGTAGCTATTATTAATTTCGCGAATGACGTAAATACAAGGGGGAAACGGAGGAGGTGTGTCGCGTGAAGAATTGGACGCAGCAGTCTCTTTTGAACATTGCGAATCGCTGACTTGTTGAATAAAAGGAGATTGATGGAGAAATGCTCAAGTTCGAAAGCTAGATGCATTTTTTTATTAACCCTTTGCAGTCGCTCTATTCCGCAAATTCCCCACTTTCGCACCACCACCAGACACACCCCAAGCACACCGAAAAACCCAATCACCACACACTTCCACCACCTACGACAGTTTCACACCGCCAATCACAACACATACGTAGTTTATAAAATAGCGAACACCACACGACACACAAATACATAGCTTTCATAGCAAACTGTTGCGCGTTAATAGTCAATCTTCCGAGCACTACCTGAGTCCCCTTATTGAGAATAGATTATATTTTGAATTTTTCTTTCCTTAACGTAGGCCCAGGCCGCGCCATAAAAGCCATGGGTCCGCTGACCGTGGTTCCGATCCAAGTATATAACATATGTTTCTCCGTATTTTAAGCAGTCGTGCGACAACCCCGAACTGAGTACCTGTTCTTCACTCAGGTTTTCGCCTCCGTTGCTTTGTATTACATTTATATCAATAAACGTTTCTCTTCTCTGCAGCCGACTGAGTCAATCTTTATTCGCAAATTAAAGATCCTCAATACCCCTATCCCGAGTAGATTCCTTAAATGGTCTGACTCAAAATCGGTTTCGCAACAAGCACATTGCGTGCACCACGTGCAAATTCGACAAAGCTCGAAAGTTCATTTGTAACTACAACGGGCAAGATCTAACGATAATAAAGACATATGAACCTTTTAATTAGATCGCATCGAGTGTCCAAATACTTATGCACGGTAGTGTATATATATTTTTTA